TTCAGTATTCTTTTTAATTTTTTTTCTTTTAGTATTTTATCTTTATCTTTGAATTTGGAGAATTTGACTATGTCTTGACTAATGTTGTTCTTTTGGAGTCTAATCTGTTTGGCATTCACTTTTTTTCTTGAATGTGGATTTCCTCTTTTTCATGATGCTGGGAATGTTTCTTCTAGTACTTCTACAATTTTCTTTTCCTCTTCCCCTTCTGTTCTAGAATTCCAGTCACACACATGCTCCTGTGTTTGACATTATCCTACAGGATTCTAATGTTTTCTTCATTTTCCTCACATCTTCTTGTTGTTCTTTCTTCTAGTAACTCCCATTGAGGTTTTTGTTTTCAAGCTCACTGACTCTCTGTTCCATTTCTCCTACTCTGCTTTTTTGTCCATAAAGCTTGTTGGGGAATTCTGTCATTTCAGGCTTGATATTCTGGGTTGCATTTTCATGCTTTTCTGTTATTTCTAGCACTGTGCTGGTTGTTCCTTGTCTTATGATGATTTTTTTAAACCCTCATGGCTCTTTCTTTATGGTTTCAATTCTTTTTTCCATCATTTGTAACTTCTTCATTAGCTGCTTATGTAACTCCACATTGATACATTTCTTCTTCCTCCCTTTCCCTTCTCCCAGGGATGGCCTGTGGGTGGGGTTAAACAACTATTCCTGCCTAAGAAAACAAAGACTCAGGGAAGTACCAATTTTGCAGCAGTGCAGTTCTCAATTCTGGCTACCTTCTAATGTCCAAGCATATCTACTTCGTTTCTTCGTGAGCTCTAAGGTATTCATTGGGTTTGCAATCTGATCTGCTTTTTTAAGAGAAATGTTTTTCCTAATGTTTGAAGCTGCCTATTGCTTTCTTGACATTTTGTGAAGTTCTTCTTGGTATGCATGAAGCATACCATGTAAGTTGTTGACAAATCCTTTTCTTTATGATATTTTTCGTGAGTTGTAGACTTAAATTGTTGCCTCCAATTGAGTTTCCCAGTGACAATATTCCGTGCTGGTCATCTATGGGCAGATCTGTTCCCTGTTTGCTGTGACAAGCTTCTCTAATTGCCCTTTGAGAGCCAGGGATCTGGGGCCTTTGTGTAGCTATGATGGGCCCACTTCTCTGTCCTGTCCTGCAGTAGATGGGGTGCAGGTTTCTTTCAGGTGTAGGCAAAGTTGCAGGAGTGCTGCCTGGGATATAATGCTCAGGGAAATGACTCAGGAAAGTTACAAGGTCCCCAAAGTGCAGGCCCCAAGTCTCAGTAGCTGCCAACAACCATGTACCCTTCCCTTCTCCCAGGGTTGGCCTAGGGTTGGGGTTAAGCAGCTATTCCTGCCCCAGAAAACAAAGACTCAGGGACGTGCCAATTTTGCAGCAATGCAGTTCTCAATGCTGGTTCCTCTCTAATGTCCAGGCATCTCTACCTCTCCTCTTCAGAAGCTGCTGGTTGGAAGGGCACCTTCCCATCCTAGAAGACTACAATGCTCTCTTGTGACTGCCTTGTACTAAGAATATAATCAAGTGGATGTTTTCTCATTGAGAAGAGAACATGCAGCTGGTACCGAGCATGAAGCAAGCCAAGCCCCTGGGCAGCCTCTGCCAAGTCCTACACCAGTCCAGCACTCCATGGAGTGTGATGTTTTGAGGAGTGTTCAGATCAGTGGACACCTACGACCTGTGTTTTCATGTTATTGAAAATGTCTTCTGAAGACAAAAAAGTAAGAAACCCTAAACAACCTAAGGTCACAGGGATTTCCCCGTTTTCTTGTTGTTTTATAGCTGTAGACTTTACATTTAAGTCTGTGATCTTTTCTAATTATTGTAGAAAAAGTCTCTTTATCCAAATACCTAGAATACAGTTATCTGCTTTCTAGTTCCTTGCTTCTTTGTATCGCAGCACCTAAGGCCAGTTAAGCCAGTCAGACCTCAGCTGTGCTCAGACAAAGCTCTTAAACTCTATCAATAAGCGGCTCTGCACTTGGCCATAAGCCTCAGCTCAAAGGCACTCAGCTCTTGCCCTCCGTGGGTCAGTTCCTACGTTGTCTTTTGGTTCTTCTGCTGCTATTCCTCTGTCACTGTTTCTGGCTGGCTGTGCCATCTCTGATACTACAGCTCTCTGCAGTTCTTCCAAGTCCTCCCTAGAACTTCCTTTGACACTCATGATTCCACAAAAAGTTTCTTCACTGTTACCATGCCTCATTAAGTTGGAACAGACTCATAGCTGACCCTCTAGTGGGTTTTAAGATGCTATAAATCACACCATTCCTTATAAATTACCTAATTCCAATATCACTTTCACATCTTAGGTGTCTTTCATACTAACATCTCTATTTATACAAATTTTTAGTTATCTAATGCTGGTATCTTTCTTTCATAGACCAGCTGTGAACTCAAACCAATCTTTGGATTGGCAGCGCAATTCCTTACCCACTAGACCATGAGAGCCCCTTACTCAACAGAGTGTGGAAACTATAGAACAATATCATTGATTGCACATGCAAGCAAGATTCTACTGAAGATTATCCAAAAACGACTGGAACAGCACATCAGCGGAGAACTGTCAGAAGTCCAGGCTGGGTTTAGAAGGAGTTGTGGTACTAGGGATATTGTAGCTGATGTTAGATGGATCTTAGCTGAAAGCAGGGAATACCAGAAGAATGTCAATCTGTGCTTCATTGATTATGAAAAGGAGTTTGGCTGCGTGAATCATAACAAACTGTGGCTGACTCTGAGAAGAATGGGAATCCCAGAACACTTGATCGTGCTAATGAGAAATCTATCCTTGGACCAAGAGGCAGTGGTCAGAACAGAGCAGGAAAACACTGCATGGTTCAAAACTGGGAAAGGTGCATGCCAGGGATGTGTCCTGTATCCATACCTTTTCAAACTGTATGCATAACAGATTGTCCGAGAGGCTGGGCTCTATGAGGAGAAGTGTGGTGTCAGGGTTGGTGGAAGATCTATTAACAATCTGCGTTATGCAGATGACACAACCCTGCTTGCTGAAACTGCGGAGGACCTGAAATGCTTGCTTCAGAGGGTCAAGGACTGCAGCCTTCAGTATGGATTGAGGCTCAGTGTCAAGAAGACAAAGATTCTCACCACTGGACCAATTGGCAGCATCAGGATGGATGGTGAAGAGATTGAGATTGTTAACAACTTTAGTCTGCTTGGCTCCTCGGTCAACACTCTTGACACCAGCAGCCAGGAAATTAAAAGACGTATGGCGATGGGAAAGTCTGCTGTTAGGGACCTCTCCAGGGTACTGAAGAACAATGGTGTCACTCTCGAGACTAAGGTGCGCCTGATACAGACTGTGGTCTTTGTAATCACTTGTTACGCATCAGAGAGTTGGACAATGACTAGGGAGGATAGAAGGAGAATTGATGCCTTCAACTTGTGGTGCTGGAGAAGAGTATTGAATGTACCATGGACTGCCAAGAAGACAGATTCATCCTGGAGAGGGTTAAACCAGGCTGCTCTTTGGAGACAAGGATTCTGAGTCTCCGTCTAACATACTTTGGACATGTTGTAAGGAGGGACCGGTCCTTCGAGAGGGACATTATGCTTGGGAGGGTGGAGGGACGGCGCAAGAGGGGAAGGCCCTTTATGAGGTGGATTGATTCAGTGACTGGGGTAATCGGGATGGGTGTGTCAGAGACAGTGCAGTTGGCACAGGACAGAGCAGGGTTTAGGGCTGTTGTACATAGGGTCGCTATGAGTCGCAAGTGACTCAACAGCACATAACAACAACAGCAATGCTGGTATAACGGAAATACCAGACTTGATGACTGTAAACAGGCATTTAATTATTCTCAGTTGAGCAGGCTGCAAGTTTGAATTCAGGGTGCTATCTCTAAGAGAAGGCTTTGTCTGTCATTGTGGGAGAAGGTCCTGGTTTCTTTTCAAAGCTCTGGGTCCACTGTCCCTTCAAATTCCCCATGTCTGGCATGAACCTTCTCCTGCATCTAGGTGGTTCTCAGCATAGAGACTCTGGATTAAAAATAGTCTGCACTCCCAGGTCTTCTTTCTTGATAGCAGTCAAGTCTCTCCTTCTTGGTTCACTTCTCTCTCTATCTTTTGTAAGAAATTAAAAAATCAGGCCACACACACACACACACACACACAGCAGGCCACAACCTCGGAAATGTGTTTGTACATGAGATCAGAGTTGGGAATGTTGCATCCCATGCTGATCCACTTACAAGTGACTGACTCATAAACCAGATCACGTCATGAGGGATGATTGCATCACTACACGGCTGATTATCACAGCACAGCCAAGTTGACAAATTTGGGGGTTGAGGGCGTCCCAGTTCAATCCATAACAGCAACCACTACAGCTTTTTCTTGCCTCACATCGTCTGTGTGGACACTCAGCTTGAGGGTCCAACTCTGCATTTTCAGCAAAGATAGGGAGAGATAATGGGCTTTAGTGTAAGGTAGCAGGAGACGAGGCATCCAGAGATTCCTGGGCTTTGAGAAAAGGAGCCAAAGCATCAGATCTCACAGAGAGTCCAGACCTAACACAGACCTCAGACCTTAGTGCATCTCTGCTCATGGGCTCTATAAACCCACGTCTGATGGAAACTAGAACTATCCGTGTGGTCCTGAGAGCCAGGATGTAGCTGCCTGCTGAGGGGCTCAGGGCTCCATCCCCGCAATGAGTTTATAACCCTCTTGTCCATGCCTCAGTCCTGTCTGCAAGGGAGGATGAGTATCTCTGCACCCCAATATACTCAGATAGATTGAGATCACAGTACCTGCATGCATGGCCTGGCTGGATCTAAGGATTTACAACAACCCCATAGCATGGCCTCCCAGACAGCCCAGAGGACAAATAGATACTCTTTAGCCTGACAGCCCTATCCAGCCCCTGGGGAGAGCAAGTCTTGGGCACCAGCTTGTTCCAGGGCCCCTTGCTCCTTTCTCCTCCTTTAAGTACAATACCCTCACCCACGGCTGCTCCTCAGGACAACATAGGACCTGCGCAGCCACGACCCTAGCTCACCTGTAGGGTTTCAAGGGCCTGGGAGAGAACAGGGGTTACTGGGCCCTTCCGCGTGTCAACCAAGACGACCAACCCCAGGTCTTGCACCTCTTTCCTGCAGAGGGAGACAGACATCCATGAATAATCTTTCAAATCCTCTACAGGACAAGCATAAATAGTAACTGATAAGGCTCCTGTTGCCTGAGACTAGGGCTCCATCTCTAAACATGAACAGCAACTACCGAAGCATTTCTGCCACGGCTGGGGTCTCCACCTCTAAGTAGGGGCAGTGGCCACTGAGGCTTCTGCCTGATGCAAAGGGTGCCCTGAGTTTCCCAGGTCAATTCATGTTTTAGTTAGAGATAGTGATTACTATTCATGTGTAGCCACCTAGCCTTCAACAGCAACACTCCCCAAGTTTTAGGGCTGGAGGTAATGGGGTGTGGCTGTGATCACAGATGTGTACCCACCACCAAAGAAGCCAAGACCCCAAAAGTCTCAATTGTTTTGTCTCTCTGCTTTTAGTATAAGCATGGGCATTAGTTCTGATGAGGGGACCACTCAGCATCATCAGAGCTGACCCAAGATTGCAAAATATTGTCGGAAAACAAACAACACCTTCCCCAAAACTCTTTCAAAACTTGTGTCTCAATTGAAATGGTCAGATTTAATTTTAAATTTAATAGGACAAAAATAATAGGCTGTGGTGACCAGATACACCAATTTTAAGAGGATGCAGGGGTGGGGCATTAATCATAGGGTTACACAATTTGACGGGGTGTGTGTGAAGGATATAGGATAGATCCAGTGTGAAAATCTAAAAAAACCCCTAGTATTAAGAAGATAGAATGAAAAAAATAATTTTCTTTGGAAACATCTTTGTTTTAGCTTCTGTGACTAATTAACATTCTATTTACAGAGTATTTCTAGATGCCAGTTTTAGTGTGGACTTGTGTACCATGAACCAGTCTGTCGAGCTGCAGACTTGCTGGTGGCCCCTGCCTCCTGCTTGATGGGGCAGATGTCCCTATGTACCAGCCTATAAGGAATCAGCCTGAGAGTGGCTTTTAAAGAATATATAAAAAAACAGGTGTCTCTTAGGGGAGACCAATGGACTGAGAAATAGGACTATTTCTAGAAAGGAAAGTTGACTCTTGAATATTAGGTCCTCAGTAGAGACAACAGAGACAGCTGGGAAGCTGGGGCCAGAGGTTGTCATCCCTCACCTCCCTGGATGCCCACATCTCATCAGGTCTTTGCTCCAGGTCTTTCTCTGTATGCCAAGTGTGCCATGTAGCAGCCAAGGGAGTTCTGCACTAAGGCCTGGAGCACAAGTTCCCACCTCCGGAGGCTGACGTCCACTCTGGGTCCACTGTGGGATCAGGTGAGGATGGCGTGATGCACCCTGAACCATACCTGTTCTTCCCTGACTGCCTACTTCTGGCGGTACCCCTTCACCTCTGACATCACATCAGTCATTGTGTCTATGTCTTGGGGTCTGGTTCCAGGAACTGAGTAAGACAGTTTCCTCCAAACATGAGGAGCAGCTGTGTAGAGGAGTGAGGTGCCGTGGAGGCCAGCTGTGTCTCACAGCACTGTCAGTGATCAGCACATTCCCTCCTATCCACTAGCAGGTTTGTTGAAAGGAGGGACAGAGAAAGAGCAGCCTATCTCTCCTTGAGGCCACTCAAGAAGACGCTTATTACTGTGTTCTCACTGGTGCCTCTCAGCCTGAGCCCTGGGACAAACCTGCTTTTCTCCATGGGTTTCCATCTTCCGTGGCCAGTTAAGATGGCCAACTAACCTCCTTAAGCGTGTCCTTTCCTCACCTGAGACATTGTGCCAATCTGCTTTCCACATTCTGCGTCTCCTTGCTCCAATATCGTCTTCCTTCCACTCTACATCACAGTCAGCATCTCCTAGATTGCCCACTCTCAGTTGATATCCAGTGCAGAATGTGACTTTGCTCCTGGACTTCGTGAGTTCTATGCTTGCCTAGAAAGTCCTCTTCCTGTATCCTTCAACAAACACCATGATTCTGTCTGTGACCCAGTTCCTCAGTGACTGTGGCTCTTCACCCAGCATTGTGGACTTGCTTAATGCTGGAAGTATAAGGATTTGGATCCCATTTTGCAGGTACTGGCAGGTACCATATTCCATTCTCCGTTATATACTTCATTAAGTGCTGGATAGAGTGATGAATGAATGAATGGAGATCATTAGATAAGTGGATGGAGATAAGGTAGTAGATGGACTGAGGACATATTATTGGATCGAAGATGGATTGATGAATAATGGAGGGAGAACGAGAGAGTAGATATATGGATGAAAGACAGATGATTGGATGGATGGCAGGGAGATAATTGGATGGAAGATTAATGAGTATAGAATAGATAACTATATAGAGAATTGATGGGTAGATGGATTGGTGAAGAAAGAGGAATTGATGGATAGATGATGGGGGACAGGAAGGTGAATGATGGAATAAGGATAGATGGTGGGTGGATTGGTGTGGTTGTTAGGTGCTGCCGAGTCAACTACAATTCATAGTGGTAGTCTGAATAACAAATCCTTTCTTGTCATGTGCCATTCTCATCATCTCTGACATAATTGAGCTCATTGCTGCAATCATTATGTCAGCCCGTCACAGTGAGGATCTTCCTCCCTGTGACTGACCTTCTACTTTTCCGAGGATGATGTCTCTTTCTAAGGAGTAGCATCTCTTAACAATATGTCCCAAGTATGTGAGTCAGCATCTCACCATCCTTGCCATTAAGGAGCACTCTGACTGAACTTTCTCCAAGACTCCAAGACTGTTCTTTTGCAGTCCATGGATGGTCAGTGCTCTTCTCTAACACTACCACCCAAAGGCATCAATTCTTCTGTCATCTTCGTAATTTTCTAGCTCTCAGATGCATAGAAAGTGACTGAAAAGCCTGATTCAGGTGACATCATTGCTTAATACTGGGAGAGGTCCCTAACTGCATACTTTCCCCATGCAATACACCTTTTGGTTTCTTGACTGCTGTTCCTAAGGGTATTGGTTGTGGATACAAGTAAGATGAAATTGTTGACAATTCCAATCTTTTCTCTCTCTTTCATTATGCTACCCCATTAGTACCAGCAATCAGTAAATCAGGAGATGTATTGTACTGGGAAAATCTGCAATCAGGGATCTCTCCACATTTTTGAGGAATAATGATATCAATTTGAGGACTAAAGTGTTTCTGATTCAGATTATGGTCTTTCTAATCAGTGGCTATGCATCTGAAAGCTGAACAGTGAATAAGTGCCTATCAGTCCAGTGGTGAGAATTTTTGTCTCCTTGATGTTGAGATATAATCCATATTGGAAGGTTGTAGTCCTTAATTTTCTGCAGCAAGTGTTTCAGGTCCTCTTCAATTTCAGCAAGCAGTGTTGTGTTATCTACATAGTGCAGGTTGTTAATGAGTCTCCCTCCAATCCTGATGCCAAATTCTTCTTTGTAGTGTCCAGCTTCTTGAATGATTTGGTCAGCATACAAATCAAACCGGTATTGAGAAATGCTACAGCCCTGTCACACATTTTTCTTGATTTTTAAAACAGGACGTGTTCTGGGAATTAGTGAGATGAGCTGGTGGATGGATGGCAGCTAGATAATCTGACAGAAAGTGAATAGCTGGAGAATAGATGAATGAATGCAGAATTGATGAGTGAAGTATGGAGGATGGGTGCATGGATGGAAGGATGGATAGAGGATAGTTGGCTGGTGGATGAATGGATGGATGTGTGGAAGATTAGTGAACAGGTAGATGTTTGAATAGAGGGTGGATGAATAGATGACAGATGGCTGGTAGATGGAGGATAGAGAAATAGAGGATGGCCAGGTGGACAGATGGTTGGAAGGATGAGTGGAGGATGGATGGATAGATGAGAACGCACAAGTGAACATACATATGAATAGAGAACCGTGGAGGGTAGATGGATTGGGATGGATGATGGGTAGAGAATGAGTGGATAAATGGATAGTGCTTGGATGTCTGCACTGGGTCAGACGCAGGTGGCTGATTCTGAGACTCCATATGTGCTGATATTTAGACTTTGATGGTAGTCTATTTTCAAGGCAAGCAGGGCTCCTCATAACATACGTGCCACAATACTGATGCTCTTCACCGGGTGGAGAATGGCCGGGCCCTGACCGCCTGGCACACCCCCTGCCTGATTCCCACAGCTGAGGACAGTCTTCACCGAGTGGAGAATGGCTGGGCCCTGACCGCCTGGCACACCTCCACCTGATGACAGTCTTCATTGGGTGGAGAATGGCCGGGCCCTGACCGCCTGGCACACCCCTGCCTGATTCCCACAGCTGAGGACA